CCCGGTCGACCGGGCAACCACGCCTGGCCGACCAGCGCAGTCCGTAGCCGGCCACGGATGCCCAGAGTCCCTAGTCTGGCGTCCAGGCGCCCAGGACGCCTTCCGAACCCCAAGGTCAGCGTCCAGACGCCCAGGACGCCGATCAGACGCCTAGGTCGGCGTCTCGCCTTCCAGAACGCCGTGCAGGCGCCCACGACGTCGACCAGGCGCCCGGGTAATCGTGGCGACGCCCAGCTCGGCGTCCAGCTTCCCAGGACACCGTCCAGGCGTCCGGGACGCCAACCAGGCGTCCAGGGCGGCGTCCTCCTGCTCGGCGCCCTCCAGCCAGGCGCCCTCCAGCTTGGCGCCCTTGCAGTGGCCCCCGTGCCCACTGCTGCAGATCGGCTGCAGCCCCCGCACATCCGACCACAAGGTTGGCTCCGCCCAAGCGAGGACGGGGCCTTACAACGCTCCTGTTGACACTCCCCTGTCGCGTTCACGCTTGGGCCCCTAGCCCACACGGCAGTACAGCTCCGAGAATAGCTCGTCGGCGTGCACCCAACACACAGCACGCCGGTCACCGCACCAGCCATGCAAGAGGGCATGGCACCTACTGCTGCACGTCGTTGTCGCCGTCGCCCACGTCGGCCAAGCGCACCTGGCGGATTGCGACGGAGCACCGGTTGAAGGCCGGATAGTGCAGCGCCTTCGTCAGGAAGTCGGCTGGCTGCTCAGCGGTCGGGATGTACTGCAGCGAGAACTTCCCGCGCTTCACCATGTGTTGCAGCCAGGCCTGTCGCCGCTCCATGTGCTTGAGGTTGCCTGTCAACCCCATGCCCTCGGCGACCGTGATGGCCGACTTGTTGTCCACCCTCAGGACAGTCGGCTTCCCGGCATCCAGCTGCCGGAACTCTGCAAGGAGGAAGCGAAGTCGGCGTCCTTCCTTGCCGGCTTCGGTGGCTGCCACGTACTCCGACTCAGTCGACGACAACGTCGCGCACTTGATGCGCTGGCTCGACCAGGAGACTGCGGCCCCTCCATAGACGAACACGTAGCCACCCGTGCTCGTCCTGTTTTGCTTGTCACCGGCGTCGTCGGCGTCCACGTAGCCGACCAGCTCCAGCGACTCAGGTCCACCGCCTAACTCCAGGGCAGTGTCACGCGTGTTGGCGAGGTAGGCGAGGCAGCGGTCGACCTCGCGCCAGTGCTGGTCGCTCCTCACCGTGAGGCCGCTCCCCAGCTTGCTGCAGGCGAAGGCGATGTCCGGCCTTGTCGTCGTCGCCGCGATCTGCAGCGAGCCAACCTTCTGCCGGTACTCCTCTTCCTGTCGCTCATGTGCCTCCTCGTCATCGAACGTGAGCTCGGCGTAGGCATCAACCGAGACCGGCGTCTTCGGGGTGCGCCCGGTCTGCTCCTCGTCGATGAAACGCCTACGCAGCTTGTTGGCGTAGCCCTGCTAGTGCAGCCACAGCTTCCCCGCCGACTTGTCACGCACGATCTCCAGCCCGAGGTACTTCTGCACAGGTGAGATCTCGCGCAGCTTGAAGGCGGCTTCCAGCAGCGCCTTTAGCTCGTCCAACATCGCGGCGCTGCTGTTGGCAACGAGCAGGTCGTCGACGTAGACCAGCACCCAGCAGGCCACCCCGTCGTCGCCAACTTTGAAGTACAGAGCCTCGTCGACCTGGCTCTTCTTCCACCCGGCGCCGACCAGCACATCGTTGAGCGCCAAGTACCACAACAGCGGTGACTGCTTCAGCCCGTACAGGCTTTTCAGCAGCTTGCACACCCGGCCGGCCCCGTCGTTGAAGTAGTTCGGCTGGGACATGTAGAGCACCCTATCGAGCTTGCTCTGCAAGAAGGCGTTCTTCATGTCGAGCTGCATCAGGTTGAGGTTGAGCACGGCGACGATGCTGAGGAAGATCCTCAGCGTGACGTAGCTGCCCACCGGCGCGAACGTCTCATCGTAGTCGGCGCTGTACACCTGCGTGAAGCCCTTCACGACCAGCCTCGCCTTCTCTCGCTCGACAGTGTCGTCGATGTGGTACTTCGTCGTTAGCACCCACCGGTTTTTCATGATTTTGAACCCCGGCGGGCGTTCGACCAGCTCCCAAGTGCCCATGTTGAGGAGGTTGCGGATCTCCTCCTCCATGGCGGCCTTCACCGCCGGGCCCTTCCAGCTCGTCAAAGCCTCCTTCACCGTCATCGTCGAGATGTCCCAGCGGTGTTCAGGGTTGGCCAGCATGTCCGGGTCGAGCTCCGGAAACTCCTCATCGTCCTCGGAGTCGTCGTATAGCAGGTCGTCGTCATCGTCCACGACGTACGCCGTGGTGAAGGCAGCGGGGACGAAGAAGTCCGGCGGCCTCCGAAGTCGGCCTGAACGCCGTGGTCCCGGCTGGACCTCCTCGGCGTCCCCTCCATCGTCGTTGTCGTCGCTGCCCTCGGCGTCCTGCTGCTCCTCAGCCGGCGTTCCAGCCGACTGCTCCCCTGTGGTCGACGTCCCAGCCGACTTCTCCCCTGTGGTCGGTTCCCCTGCCGACTGTTCGGTCGCCGACTGCTCCTTGGTCGGCGTCGCTGTTGCGTGCTCCCCTGTCAGCTGCTGTTCTGCAGGCGCCTCCTTTACCGGTTTCACCAAAGGTGGCTGCACCACCTGCTGCCTCCCGGTCGGCGTCAGCTTTGCTCCCATGCCGCCTTGCACAGCAGCACGTCGGCCACCGGCGATGCTTGGGACCGGCGCCACAGGTGACGCACCACTTCTCCCCTCATCACCGAAGGCCGACGTCGGTGTCAGCCCATGCAAGTCGGCGTCCAGGGGAGGGGCAGGTGAAGGGTAGGGACCGGGGACGTCCTCGGCGTCCTCACCAGCAAGCGCACCGACCTCGGCAAGCAGAGGCACCGACGCCGTCGAGGTGTCCGTTGGCGGGTGAACCGGCATCCGCCCTGACACCGGCCCGTGCGCCGACTTCCACATATCCAGCGACATGCTCTCGTAGAACACCACGTCCGACATGGTGACCACCCGGTTGTCGGCAATGTCGAGGAGCTCCCAGCCCTTGCTCTCCTCCGACACGCCGAGGTGAAGGCCCCACCGTGCCTTCGGCTGCAGCTTCCCACTACGCTGCTGTTCGGGGACTAAGAACTGCGCCATGCAGCCCCACACCCGCGCCAGCGACAAGTCGGGCTTCTTCCCGGTCAGCAGCTAGTACGGCGTCGTCCCCGGCGGCAGCGCCGACCTCTCAAGGCAGTTGCGGACCCAGACGGCCTGCCGGAGAGCGAGGTGCCACCAGTGGTGCTGCACGCCCATGTGCAGCAGCATTGTCCGCACCGACTCCACCACCGTCCTCATCTCCCGCTCCGCCATGCCGTTCTGCTGCGGGGTGTATGGGCAGGTCAGGTCGTGGACGATCCCCTTGTCGTTCACGAAGTCGGTGAACTGCTTCCCGAGGAACTCCCCTCCCCGGTCAGAGCGCAGCATCAACACCGACTTCTTCGTCTGCCGCTCAGCCACCGCCAGCCATTGCACGAACAGCGGCAACGCATCTGACTTCTTGGCGACCGGCTTCACCCACACATAGCAGGTCTTGCGTTCCTTCAGCAACAAGAAGTACAGGCTGCCATCCTTGGCAGCCACGCGGAACGGCCCGCACAGGTCGATGTGCACGACGGCCCGCACGTCGTCGGCGTCGGAGCCTTGGTCGGGGAAGGTGTGCCGCGCCAGCTTCCCGCCGACGCACGAAACACACGGTGAGTCGGCGCTCGTCGTCGACTTGAGGTCCAGCCCAACGGCGACCTCGTTCTTCGCGGAGCTCCTGATAGTGTCCAGGCCGACGTGCGCAAGCCTTCCGTGCATTCTGTCCGGCGTTGCCTTCGTCGCCGAGACGATCGCGCGCAGGGCCACTACCTCCGTGGTAGGCGTTGTCGGCGTGGCCGAGCAGGGGCGCAGGTTGGTGCAGAGGACACGCCCGGTGTACGTCGCCCGACCGAGCACCTCCCCTGCTGCCGAGACGAGCAGCATCCCGTCGCCGTCCTCCTGCAGCTTCACGCCGTGCTCCTTCAGCTGGCCGGCTGAAAGCAGGTTTTCCTGGACGCTGGGTACGTAGAGCACATCGAGGATGAGCACCTGCTTCCCGACCTCCCCTTGCAGAGCGACAGTGCCGCGGCCCTGAACGTCCTGGAGCGCCCCATTGAAGCCGCGCACGTGCTTCACGTCGCCGCTCGGCCCCAAGTCGACGAAGGCCTCCTTCGTCCCCATCAGGTGGTGCGAGCAGCCGTTGTCGAGCAGGACCACCGCTGGGTTCGCTTGCATAGCTGCTGCTACCGCCTGGAAGTCCTCACCAACCTCCGGCACCAGTGAGACGGTCGGCTCCACGACGCCGACCAGCGAGCACGACGCCGCCTTGTCGTCTCGCCCCTTGCCGCCTGCAGAGGAGTCGGCGTCCGTCGCCGAGGCCAGCTTGCTCGACTGCTTCTCCTTGCGCGGCTTGTTTCCTCGACGTGGACGACGGCTGGCCGACCTCCCGCGGCCTGCCTTAGCGTCGTCGTCGTCGGTATCGCTGCGGTCGGGACACTCGAAGGAGAGGTGGTCGGGGCTGTGGCAAATCCAGCACTCCCGGCGGCGACTTCCTCCTCCGCGACCGCTATCCTTGGCCGACTTCTTCTTGTTGGCGTCCTTGCTCGGCTTCCAGCCACTACTACCGCCGCCGCCCGACTGCCCACGCTGCTCTGGTCGGCCTCCTTGCTTCGTCGGGGTGACAAAGTTGGCCTGCGCCAAGAGCTCCTGGGATCGCTCGGCCTCCTCCATCGCCTCATCCTGTAGGATATACGAGGTCAGGTTATCCTCGTTGAGCGTCATCCTTGTGCTCGGCGCCATGGACAGCCACTTCAGGAGGTTGTAGCTGCTCGAGAGCCCCTGCATGACATGGGTGACGTACGACGCTGTCGAGTACTGGGCGCCGGCCATCCTGATGGTGGCGAGAATTCACCGGGCCCGGTTGTAGTAGTCGGTCGCCGTCTCCTTGTCGCCCATGCGCAGGTGCGTCAGCTGTCCTTCTAGCTGGGCAATGAACAAGTCGTCGGTGACTTGGTAGGTCGACTCGATGAAGTGCCACGCCCGGTGGCCGGCGTCGAGGTACTTTCGGCACCACTTCAAGGCGATCTGCACGCCCGGCGAGCAGCACCGCGAGATGACCGTGAAGGTCAACAACTGCACGGCGCGAAACTCCGCACGCAGGTCAGGGTGGTGCTCCCCCGGCATCGCCACAGTCCCTCGGGCGAAGCCGATCAGCCCGGCCATCTGCAACTGGGGCTCGATGGCTTCCTTCCAGGTGAGGATGTCTTGTCCACCAACGAGCGGCGGGGTGACCGAGATCCTGTACGGCGTAAACTTGAAGTAGCCGTAGCTCGGTGCAATCCCGCCCGCCGTCACCTGGGTCGCCGACATTGGTGACAATCCACTTCGACCCCCACCGGCGTCGCCCTGCGAGGAGCCTGCAGCCGCAGACGACTGCATCCCTCGCGCTTGAACGCCGCCGGCTTCACCGGCGTGTATCACACCTCGCTGCCTCGACGTGTCTCCCGCACTGCTGCGGACCTGGCCTCCAACGGCATTGACGCCCATGTCGACGCCGCCATCGTCGTTCACCGGTCGAGGAGAGGCAGGCCGAGAAGGGGTGTGCTCCGCCGCCCACATGGAGCGGAGTCCTGCCTCGACGACTGCCCAGGGTATCGCCCCGTACTCCTGGGCCTCATGGCGTCTCCTCGCATCCTCCAGCCGTCCCTCCAGGGTGTCCATCACCTCGGCGTCGCCTACGCGCACGCTAGTGACTGCACGGCTGCCGGTCTACGAACACGATCGGTAAGTCGGCTGGACTGAACTACGTCACGTTGTCGTCCACGCTCACCGCACCATGCGGAGATAACTGCTGCAACGGGAGCTAGGCTATGGGCTAGGCACGTGTGCTCGTGTGATCTCTGCGTTCGTTCACTTAGTCGTTTCCTTGTGTTCACGCTGCTTGCTAGTTCACGGGGAGAAATGGCAAGAGTTTCACTAGGAAAACATGGCAACAATGATAGCAACAACATTGGCATCACAGACTACATCAGTGCTAGCTAGGCTGCTGGTCGACCTCCACCGCAGCACGGTCGACCGCACTCCAGCGCAGCAGCGCTCGCACCGCTCCAGCGTTGCAGAGTAGCGGTTCGCCAACGTTGCAAGTCCACGGTGTGCTAGCGCTGCAGCAAGTCGGCTGCACAGCGTTGCACCCGCATGACAACGGTGCACCTGCTTCACAGGTGCGCACAGCTGGTTGGCGCTCCACACCTTGTCACGAGCACAGCGCAGACGCCTGGCAGATTCCACGCCAGCGACTGCGCCCACCAGCCACGTCGACCTCGGGATACCACCCCCGAGGTCGGCATCGCAGACTCCACCCTGGCGACAATTGCGCACGTTGCCCGGGTATCCCGGTCGACCGGGCAGCCACGCCTGGCCGACCAGCGCAGTCCGTAGCCGGCCACGGATGCCCAGAGTCCCTAGTCCGGCGTCCAGGCGCCCAGGACGCCTTCCGAACCCCAAGGTCGGCGTCCATACGCCCAGGACGCCGATCAGACGCCTAGGTCGGCGTCTCGCCTTCCAGAACACCGTGCAGGCGCCAACGACGTCGACCAGGCGCCCGGGTAATCCTGGCGACGCCCACCTCGGCGTCCAGCTTCCCAGGACGCCGTCTAGGCGTCCGGGATGCCAACCAAGCGTCCAGGGCGGCGTCCTCCTGCTCGGCGCCCTCCAGCTTGGCGCCCTTTCAGTGGCCCCCGTGCCCACTGCTGCAGATCGGCTGCAACCCCCGCACATCCGACCACAAGGTTGGCTCCGCCCAAGCGAGGACGGGGCCTTACAACGCTCCCGTTGACACATCCCAGGTGCGCCCTCGTCGCTGCGCCTTCATCCCAGGTGCGCCCTCGTCGTTGCGCCTTCATCCCAGGTGCGCCCTCGTCGCTGCGCCTTCATCCCGGCTACGCCCTCGTCTCTGTGCCTTCATCCAAGGTGCGCCCTCGTCGCTGCGCGTTCATCCGAGGTGCGCCCTCGTCGCTGCGCCTTCATCCGAGGTGCGCCCTTGTCTGTGCGCCTTCATCCCAGGTGCGCCCTCGTCGCTGCGCCTTCATCCCAGGTGCGCCCACGTCTTTGCACCTTCATCCCAGGTGCACCCACGTCTCTGCGCCTTCATCTTAGGTGCGCCCTCGTCTCTGCGCCATCATCCCAGGTGCGCCCATGTCTCTGCGCCTTCATCTGAGGTGCGCCCTCGTCTCTGCGCCTTCATCTCAGGTGCGCCCTCGTCTCTGAGCCTTCATCCCAGGTGCGCCCTCAGCTCTGCGCCTTCATCACAGGTGCGCCCTCGTCTCTGCGCCTTCATCCCAGGTGCGCCCTCGTCTCTGCGTCTTCATCCCAGGTGCGCCCTCGTCTCTGCTCCTTCATCCCAGGTGCGCCCTCGTCTGTGCGCCTTCATCCCAGGTGCGCCCTCGTCTCTGCGCCTTAATCCCAGGTGCGCCCTTGTCTCTGCGCCTTCATCCCAGGTGCGCCCTCGTCTTTGCGCCTTCATCCGAGCTGCGCCCTCGTCTCTGCGCCTTCATCCCAGGTGCGCCCTCCTCTCTGCGCCTTCATCCCAGGTGCGCCCTCGTCGCTACGCCTTCATCCCAGGTGCGCCCTCGTGTCTGCGCCTTCATCCCAGGTGCGCCCTCGTCTTTGCGCCCTCATCCCAGCTGCGCCCTCGTCTCTGCGCCTTCATCCCAGGCGCGCCCTCGTCTCTGCGCCTTCATCCCAGGTGCGCCCTCGTCTCTGCGCCTTCATCCTAGCTGCGTCCTGGTCTCTGCGCCTTCATCCCAGGTGCGCCCTCGTCTCTGCGCCTTCATCCCAGGTGCGCCCTCGTCTCTGCGCCTTCATCCCAGGTGCGCCCTCGTCTCTGCGCCTTCATCCTAGGTGCGCCCACGTCTCTGCGCCTTCATCCCAGGTGCGCCCTTGTCTCTGCGCCTTCATCTTAGGTGTGCCCTCGTCTCTGCGCCTTCATCTCAGGTGCGCCCTCGTCTCTGCTGTCAAACACTATATGTGTTATTATTGTGTAGGTTATAGTGGGTTAGCCTTTAGGGGGGACACAAAGTTAGGGTTTCCTACTTGTACTCCGACTTTCATAGTGCAATCACTTCTTCTTCGTAGCATGGAATCAGAGCAGGTCCTCCGCTAGGACCGATTCCTAGGGCCCACCACTACTGCTGCCTACTAGCGCCCTCGTGCGCCCTACTGTCGGAGCGCCCTCGAGCGCCTCCCCCCTAGCGCCCTCGTGCGCCTCGTTTTCACGGCCCCCTAAGGCCCCGCGACCCGCCCCCTCTTAGCGACCCGCGTGCCGCCCCTTAGAGGCCCAGTCCACCCCGCGCGCCGCCCCTTAGAGGCCCCGCTGGCCCCGCTTAGAGGCCCCGTCGGCCCCGTTTGCCCCGCGCGCCCACCCCTTACTGGCCCCGTCGGCCCCGTCGACCCCACGTGCCGCCCCTTAGCGGCCCCGCTGGCCCCGTCGACCCCACGCGTCGCCCCCCTTAGAGGCCCCAGCCGGCCCCGTCGACCCCACGAGCCGCCCCTTAGCGGCCCCGCTGGCCCCGTCGACCCCACGCGCGACCCCCCTTAGAGGCCCCGTTGGCCCCGTTTGCCCCTTAGCGGCCCCGTCGGCCCCCTCTCGACCCACGCGCCGCCCCTTAGCACCCCGCCGCGACACCCACGGCCCCGCCAGAACGAGCCGCCCGAACCGAGCAGCCCGAACCGAGCCGCCCAGCCCGGACCGAGCCGCCTGAACCGAGCCGCCTAGCCCGAACCGAGCCGCGCCGCCCGAACCCAGCCGCGCCGCCCTACCCGAGCCGAGCCGCCCTACCTGAACCGAGCCGCACCGCCCGTACTGGACCGAGCCGCCCTACCTGAGTCGCCCTGCCTACTGTTTTCAGGGTGCACCTACTGCTACTACTGCTACTCTACTGCTACTCTACTGCTGCTATGGCTAGCCCTCCTGTGCTAGCTTTCGATGCTGAGGTCCGCCCAGTGAAGTTCGATACCTGGCTAGATGACCTACACCTCTTCCTACAGCTCACTGCCAAGGAGGACATCTCACTGTACGATCACGCCCTAGGCCATGCTACTGCTCCTGCTGCTACTGCTGACAGCACTGCCCGCTCACAGTGGCAGACTCGTGACGCCCACGCTCGCTTCGCTATTCGCAACTCCCTGCCGATAGACGAGCGCGAGCACTTTGGCCAGCACAAGACTGCACAGGCACTGTACACCGCTGTCGTTGCCCGCTACTCCTCACCTGCCTCTGCCGTGCTAGGCCGTCTCTCACTCCCCTACCTGTTTCCCGACCTGGCCTCGTTCCACACAGTCGCTGACCTCATCACGCACCTCCGTACTAGTGAGGCCCGCTTCCGTGCCGCCATGCCCGATGAGTTTCTTGCCAAGAACCCTCCCCCGCTCTGGCTCACTCTCTACCACCTAGTCACCCGCCTCCCTGACACTCTGCGTGCTGTCAGGGATCACTTCCTAGCTCGCTGCCCCACTGAGCTCATCATTGCCCTCCTCGAGAAGGAACTGCTTGCAGCTGAGGCTAGCAGAGTCGCTGTAGGTGCCTCTCGTGGCGACCCCCACACCCCTTTCTTTGAGGGGTGTTCCCCTTCCCCCTTCTTCCCTCTGTAGCCTCTGCTTCTGCTGTTGACCTCCTTGGTTCTGAGAAGGTCGGGGCTGCGTCTGCCTCGAGCGGGCGCCGCAGCGGCAAGGGCAAAGGGGGCAAGGGAGGCGGAGGTGACGGCGGGGGAGGCGGTGGTGGGGGTGGTGGCGGCGGTGGGGGTGGTGAGGGGACTGGTGGGGCTAGTGGCAGCGGTGGGGGTGGTGGCGGCAGCGGCGGGGGCGGTGGCAGGGGCGGGGGCGGTGGTGGGGGCGGCGGTGGACGCGGCGGCGGCAGGGGAGGAGGTGGTCGAGGAGGTGGCGGCGGCGGTGGTGGTCGTGGAGGCACTGGCGGTGGCCAGAGCCTGCAGCACTCTTCGTCGCCCCAGGAGCTCCGTGAGTGGTACGCTCAGCACGGGGGGGGGGTGGGGTGGCCTTAGCTGCACGTACGTCATCCGCACTGGTGACCGCACTGGTCAGACGTGTGGGAGGGCGCACCCCACGCAGCGCTGCTTCTCACGCCTCGACGACGCTTGGCGTACTCAGTTCCCTAACGCCATTGAGCTGCCCCGCTGGGCTGATCTGATGAAGCGAAACATTGATATCTTTGCTCTAGACTTTGATGCTATTCTCTCTGCCATGTATGTGATGTCTATTAGTGGAGAGAGTGTCTACGGGAGTTGTGTGTTGGCCCCGTCCTCGCTTGGGCGGAGCCGACATCGTGGTCGGGTGTTAGGGGAGCAGCCGACCTGCGGCAGTGGGCGAGCTGGTTGACGAGGAGGTCGACCTGCACGGGGACCACTGCACGAGCGCCAACTTCAGGGTGGCGCCAACTTCGGGGAGGTCGACTTAGGAGTCGACCTGCGGAGGACGTCAACTTGGTGACGTCAACTTGGGGAAGCCGACTTCGGTGGTCGGCTGATGGACTGCTTGTCGACCTGCGGGTGGTCGAGTGGACCTGGTGGTCGACGAAGGAGGGGCCGACGTCGACCTCGACTCAGGACGCCGAGCAGTTGGGCGTCGAGTAGCGGGGCGTCAACTTCGTGACGCCGACTTCGGGTGGCCGACGTGGGTGGTCGGCCGACAACTGCGCTGGCCGACTTAGTGCTGGTCTACGTGGAGCTGGTCGACCAGAAGGGACGTCAACCTGGAGGAGGTCGACCGAGGGGCGTGGTCGTCCTGGTGAGGTCGACATGGAGGTGGTCGTCGACTTAGGAGGTCGACGGGCACGTACGGGAGCTGCTGGTCGACGTGGTTGCCCGGTCGACCAGGTTACCTGGGTGACGAAGTGCTGCAGAGGAGTGCGACGGTCGCCCAGGCGAAGTTGGCGAGACCGACCTCGGTGGTGGTATCCCGAGGTCGTCGTGGCGGATCAGAGGCAGTCGTCAGCTCGAGGTTGACGTGGTGTGTGCGCTGTGCAGGTGACGAGACTCTGCACGCCAATCATCTGCGCGCACCTGCGAAGCGGGTGCACTGCTGTCCTGCGTGAGCAATGCTGGTACGCCATCAACCTGCGACGTTGACAAGCCGTCGACCTTGCCTTGCTGGAGTGCGGTCGACCAAGTCGTGCTGGAACGCGGTCGACCAAGCTGCGCTGGCAGTTGGCCGACCTGAATGCTAGCTCTGATGTAGTCTTGCATTCCCAACTTCATTGGATTATTGTTGTCATGTTTTCCTAGTGAAACTCTTGCCAATTCTCCCCGTGAACTAGCAAGAAGCGTAAACACAAGGAAATGACTAAGTGAACGGACGCAGAGATCACACGAGCACACGTGCCTAGCCCGTAGTCTAGCTCCCGTTGCAGCAGTTATCTCCGCAGAGGGTGCCCAGTACCTGCGTGTTCTGCCCGACCCGGGCATTCGACCCGGTGAGGCTACCGCTCTAGGTGCTAGAGTGTCTGCTACCCCAGGTGCTGGTGAGGCTGCTGCTCTAGGTGCTGGTGCGTCTGCGCCCCCTGTTACTGAGTCAACTGAGGCACTGCACACCTTTACACTAGACTCAGGTGCCTCCCGCTGTTTCTTTCGTGACCGCACGGCTCTTGAGCAGCTTGCTCGGCCCGTTGCAGTCTCTCTCGCTGACCCCTCTGGGGATCCAGTCCTTGCGACCTCCTCCACTGTCCTCCCCTGTCCGGCCGTCCCGTCGGGCACACTTTCCGGTCTCTACCTCCCCTCGTTCTCTACGAACTTGGTGGCGGGTAGTGCGCTCCAGGACAGGGGTGTCCACCAGTTCACCCCTGCCTACGAGCGCGTGACACACTGCACGTGTGCTCGGACAGGCCGTCACCTGGCAACCTTCACACGGCAGCCGGGGTCGGACCTGTACACACTGACTACTGAGTCCCCTCAGGTAGCTGCGTCTACGTCTGCGTCAGGTCAGCTGTCGGCCCCCTGCTCGTGCCGCTCTCTGACGCACGAGACAGTCCTCTGGCACCACTGACTTGGTCACCCGTCCGTGCAGCGCCTTCGGGCAATGCACAAACGGTACCTTGTCTCTCGTCTTCCCAGGGTTCTCCCTCCCCTCCCACCCTCGCCTGCTCCTCCCTGCCTTCCCTGTGTGGAGGGGCGGCAGCGCGCTGCTCCTCACTCCTCCTCGTTTCCCCCGACAACTGCTCCCTTGCAGACGCTCCACATGGACGTGTGGGGCCCCGCCCGCGTCCGTGGTCAGGGTCAGGAGAGGTACTTCCTGATAGTTGTTGACGACTACTCGCGCTACACCACGGTCTTCCCCTTGCGCACCAAGGGTGAGGTCCCTGATGTTTTGATCCCTTGGATCCGCGCTTCTCGTCTTCAGCTCAGCGAGCGTTTCCACTCGGACTTTCCTATCATGCGCTTGCACTCTGACAGAGGTGGTGAGTTCTCCTCCGACCTCTTGGCAGCCTACTGTGCGGAGCACGGCATCCGCCAGTCGTTCACACTTCCGGCCTCTCCACAACAGAATGGGGTTGCTGAGCGCCGCATTGGCTTGGTCATGGAGGTCGCTCGTACCTCCTTGATCCATGCGGCTGCCCCCCACTTTCTGTGGCCGTTTGCGGTCCGATACGCTGCGCATCAGCTCAACCTCTGGCCCCGTGTCTCCTTGCCGGAGACCTTCCCGACACTGCGTTGGACGGGAGAGGTTGGCGATGCGTCGCGTTTTCGGGTCTGGGGATCCCGAGCTTTTGTTCGCGATACGTCCGCGGACAAGCTCTCCTCCCGCGCTGTTCCGTGTGTCTTCCTAGGCTTTGTTCTGGACGCGTCTGGTTGGAAGTTTTACCACCCCACCTCGCGCCGTGTCCTCGCCTCTTAGGACGTCACCTTTGACGAGTCGGTACCCTTCTACCGCCTCTTCCCCTACCGCACTGCCCCGCTCCCTCCCCCGCCTCTCTTCCTCGCGCCAGGAGCTGCTGTGGTTGACCCCCTCCCCCCTCAGGGTGCCGCTCCCTCAGGTGTGTCCCAGGTAGACCCGGTTGAGCGTGTCGAGGTAGCTGTCGACTCTCGTCCTGCTTGGGGTGCTGAGCCTGAGCGTGCGGAGCCTGGGGTTGCGGAGACTGGGGATGCTGAGCCTGGGGGTGCAGAGTCTGGGGGTACTGAGCCTGGGGGTGCGGAGTCTGGGGGTGCAGAGCCTGGGAGTACGGAGCCTACTTGTGCTGAGTCTGGGGGTGCTGAGCCTGGGAGTGCTACGCCTGGAGGAGCTCTCTCCTCACAGCAGCTGCGTGAGTGGTACTTACAGTACTGCAGCCTCAGGAGAGGTGCTTCTGGAGCTAGGGGTGTTGCTGGAGCTGGTGCTCGTGCTTCCTCGCCTAGGCGGGAGCTGCCCTCTCCCCAGCGTCTTCGTGAGTGGTACGCACGACGCTGCAGTCTCAGGAGTGGCGCTCCTAGTGTCGCGGACCCTGCTACTGGTGCTGCGGACCCTGGAGTTGGAGCTGCTGCTGGTGCTGCGGACCCGGGCGTTGGAGCTGCTGCTGGTGCTGCGGACCCTGGAGTTGGGGTTGCTACTGGTGCTGCGGACCCGGGCGTTGGAGCTGCTGCTGGTGCTGCGGACCCGAGAGTTGGAGCTGCTGCTGGTGCTGCGGACCCTGGAGTTGGGGTTGCTACTAGTGCTGCGGACCCGGGCGTTGGAGCTGCGGCTGGTGCTGCGGACCCGGGCGTTGGAGCTGCTGCTGGTGCTGCGGACCCTGGAGTTGGGGTTGCTACTGGTGCTGCGGACCCTGGAGTTGGAGCTGCTACTTGTGCTGTGGACCCGGGCATTGGAGCTGCTGCTGGTGCTGCAGACCCGGGCGTTGGAGGTGCTGGGGGTGCTGCTGGAGCTGCTGGAGGTTCTGGTGCTGTCTCTCCTGCTGCAGGGGGCACCTCACGGCCGCGGCCGTACTTTGTTCTACTCCTTCAGCAGGTTCTTGGTCAGTCACCTCCGCCTTGTCCCCCTCCCTCTGTAGAGTGTCCACCGCCGGTCCAGTCGCAGTCAGAGCTACCGCCTGCCTCGCCACTTCCTCGTCCTTCTCCCTACACTGGTCCTACAGGCGGTCTCACAGAGCGTCGTCAGCCTGAGTCTCGCCCTGTGTCGCCTGTGTCCCGTCCTGAGTCCCCTGCTCGTACTACTTCCACCAGTCGCCGTACTCCGCGTGAGCGTCCGCCACCAGTCCCTGGCACACACCGGATGTCACTGCGTCCCTCCACTGCTCCATAGTGTGTCCCTCTGCCGTCTCCTCCTGAGTCCTCTCTTCCTACTCTTGCTGACCCTGAGTCTGACTCTCATCGTGATGCCAGTCCTACTGTCACGCGTCTCCTGGCCACTGCTGTCACTGACCCTTCCTTTGAGTCTGCTGCTGCGTGTGCCCTAGTTGCTGAGCTTGTCGACTTAGCTGCTCGCTGTCGTCTAGACTACGCTGCCAGACTTGTCGCTGAGTCTGAGTTTGTCTGTCCTCCGTCTGTCGGGGGTGCGTGTGCTCTTATCACGGACGTCCTTGAGGACAGACAGGAGGATCTTGAGTGTCTTGCAGCCGCTGCGCCCCATCTCGTGTCCATGCTAGTTACCCCTGAGGGAGACCCGGATGCACCAGACATCCCGACTCCTCGATCGTACGCTGAGGCGATCGAGGGTCCCTACTCCTCACAGTGGCAGTCAGCCATGGACACAGAGATGGCTTCCTCGAAGTCCACAGGAACCTACATCGACGAGGTTCCCCCACCTGGGGCGAACATCGTCAGTGGCATGTGGATTTTCAGGGTGAAGCGGCCGCCGGGTTCTCCGCCTGTCTTCAAGGCTCGTTACGTTGCTCGAGGCTTCAGTCAGTGAGAGGGAGTAGACTTCTTCCAGACCTTCTCCCCCACCCCGAAGATGACCACTCTTTGGGTACTACTGCACGTTGCTGCTCAGCGCGACTACAAGCTTCACTCTCTTGACTTCAGCACAGCTTTCTTGCAGGGCAGTCTGCACAAGCAGATCAGGCTGCGCCGCCCTCCTGGCTTCACTGGGTCGTTCCCTCGTGGTACCCAGTGGAGCCTCCGCCGGCCGGTCTACGATCTCCGCCAGGCGCCACGTGAGTGGCACGACACACTGAGGACTACTCTTGCGGCACTTGGGTTCTCTCCTTCTACTGCTGACCCGTCGCTGTTTCTACGCACCGACACCTCGCTGCCGCCGTTCTACATCCTCGTGTACGACGACGACTTGGTCTTTGCCACAGCTGACATTGAGTCTCTCGCCCACGTGAAGTCGGAGCTGCAGAAGAGACACACGTGCACAGACCTGGCTGAGCTGCGCAGCTACCTTGGCTTGCAGATCACCCGGGACAGAGCACGCCGCACCATTACCCTGACTCAGTCACACATGGTGCAGGGGGTCCTTCAGCGCTTCGGTTTCACCTGGTCCTCAGCACAGGCCACTCCTCTGGCTATAGGTCACTCGCTCTCAGCTCTGCCTTCGGATGAGTCCGTAGAGTCGAGTGGTCCTTACCCAGAGCTAGTTGGTTGCCTCATGTACCTGATGACTTGCACTCGTCCTGACCTAGCATACCCTCTTGGCCTTCTGGCTCGCTACGTGGCTCCTGGTCGTCACCGAAAGGTGCACTGGGATGCTGCAAAGAGGGTATTGCGCTACTTGTGCAGTACATCAGGCATGGGGCTCGTGCTTGGAGGAGGGAGCTCAGTTGTTCTCACTGGGCACTCAGACGCTTCTTGGGTTGACGACCAGGCTACTCAGCGGTCGTCACAGGGTTACACCTTCAGCCTTGGCTCTGGTTCAGTTTCGTGGCGCTCTACTTGTTCGTCTTCAATTCTCAGCTCCAGTTGTGAGGCTGAGATCTACGCCATAGCCATGGCTGCACAGGAGTTACGCTGGCTCACCTACCTACTGACCGACCTTGGAGAGCGGCCTAGTTCTCCTCCAGTGCTGTACGTCGACAACAAGGCTGCCATTGTCTTGTGTCGAGAGCACAGACTGGAGCACAGAACGAAGCACATCGCTCTTCGTTACTTCCTTGCTCGTGAGCTGCAGCAGCGCGGTCTGCTTCGTCTGCGCTACGTGGCCTCTGAGGCCAACACCGCTGATATTTTCACCAAGGCACTTCAGCCTAGTGATCATCAGCGCTTCTGTACTTTGTTGGGGCTAGTGCCCACTTTGCCTCACTTGTTGTAGGCTTTGCCTTTACTGTGATCTCTATATATACTGCTGCCTGTTTGCACTGCTAGGTTGAGATCACCCCAGGTGTCTGTACTACTTATATATACTTCTGCATGTGAACTGGCCTTGTGGCCCTTTGCTTGTGCTCGGAGTGTGTGGTGACGTTGTGATCCACCCTGAGCTTGCTTGCCTTTCTTGACTGGTCTTGTGACCCATTGTTCTCCCCCACTTTGCCTATGGGGGTGTGTCAAACACTGTATGTGTTATTATTGTGTAGGCTATAGTGGGTTAGCCTTTAGGGGGTACACAAAGTTAGGGTTTCCTACTTGTACTCCAACTTTCATAGTGCAATCACTTCTTCTTCGTAACATCTGCGCCTTCATCCCAGGTGCGCCCTCGTCTCTGCGCCTTCATCCCAGGTGCGCCCTCGTCTCTGCGTCTTCATCCCAGGTGCGCCCTCGTCTCTGCGCCTTCATCCCAGGTGCGCCCTCGTCTTTGCGCCTTCATCCCAGGTGCGCCCTCGTCTCTGCACCTTCATCCCAGGTGCGCCCTCGTCTCTGCGCCTTCATCCCAGGTGCGCCCTCGTCTCTGCGCCTTCATCCCAGGTGCGCCCTCGTCTCTGCGCCTTCATCCCAGGTGCGCCCTCGTCTCTGCGCCTTCATCCCAGGTGCACCCTCGTCTCTGCGCCTTCATCCCAGGTGCGCCCTCGTCTCTGCGCCTTCATCCCAGGTGCGCCCTCGTCTCTGCGCCTTCATCCCAAGTGCGCCCTCGTCTCTGCGCCTTCATCCCAGGTGCGCCCTCGTCTCTGCGCCTTCATCCCAGCTGCGCCCTCGTCTCTGCGCCTTCATCCCAGCTGCGCCCTCGTCTCTGCGACTTCATCCCAGCTGCGCCCTCGTCTCTGCGCCTTCATCCCAGCTGCGCCCTCGTCTCTGCGCCTTCATCCCAGCTGCGCCCTCGTCTCTGCGCCTTCATCCCAGCTGCGCCCTCGTCTCTACGCCTTCATCCTAGGTGCGCCCTCGTCTCTGCGCCTTCATCCCAGGTGCGCCCTCGTCGCTGCGCCTTCATCCCAGGTGCGCCCTCGTCTCTGCGCCTTCATCCTAGGTGCGCCCTCGTCTCTGCGCCTTCATCCCAGGTGCGCCCTCGTCTCTGCGCCTTCATCTCAGATGCGCCCTCGTCTCTGCGCCTTCATCTCAGGTGCGCCCACGTCTCTGCGCCTTCATCTTAGGTGCGCACACGTCTCTGCGCCTTCATCCCAGGTACGCCCTCGTCCCTGCGCCTCTATCCCAGGTACGCCCTCGTCCCTGCGCCTTCATCCCAGGTGTGCCCACGTCTCTGCGCCTTCATCTTAGGTGTGCCCTCGTCTCTGCGCCTTCATCTTAGGTGCGCCCTCGTCTCTGCGCCTTCATCCCAGGTGCGCCCTCGTCTCTGCGCCTTCATCCCAGGTGCGCCCTCGTCTCTGCGCCTTCATCCCAGGTGCGCCCTCGTCTCTGTGCCTTCATCCCAGGTGCGCCCACGTCTCTGTGCCTTCATCCCAGGTGCGCCCTCGTCTCTGCGCCTTCATCCCAGATGCGCCCTCGTCTCTGCGCCTTCATCCCATGGTGCCCGGGACATGGTCCCGGGTCATGGTGCCCGGGTCATGGTGTCCGGGTCATGGTGCCCGAGTCGTGCTGACCGGCTCATAGTGCCCGGCTCATGGCGCTTGGCTCATGGTTCTTGGCTCATGGTGCCCGGCTCATGGTGCCCGGCTCATGGTGCCCGGCTCATGGTGCCCGGCTCATGGTGCCTGGATCATAGTGGCCGGGACATCACATGGTGCCTGGTTCATTGTGCCCGGCTCATGGTGACCGGCTCATGGTGACCGGCTTATGGTGCCCTCCTCATGATGCCCGGCTCATGGTGCCTGACTCATGGTGCTCGGCTCATGGTGCCATGTTCATGGTGACCAGTTCATAGTGTCAGGCTTAATGTCCTCCCCTTTTCCTTCAACTACCCTAAACCTTTTTTTTTAATATTTCACCATCTTCCCCTCTTTTTTCATATGTCTTTCATTTTTCATCAGTTTGGGAGCAGTGGAAGACCGAGCCGTTGGACTGAGCACAAATGTCACTTGCAAGATTGTTGTGGAGATTCAGAACATTGAGCTCAAAGAAGACTGGACTTGCCTATTTGAGATCACAAAGAAGAACACAGAGAATGACACAGAAAACGGCAAAGAGGAGATGGAAACGTGTGGTTTTCCAGTTCGTTTGGATTTCACAAGTGGTGAATACATCTGTGGAATGGAGCATCGCACAACAAATGCCACCAAGAGTGATAACATCACGGTGGTGTTTAACACCTCAGGAGGTGCGTATTCTTTATCTACTTTAGATGTATTCTTTATGTACTCTATATGTATTCTTTATATGTGTATTTTTTAAATCTATACGGTTTCCCTTCCTTTATGCATTTCAGACTGTCCTATCATGTACACGGATTCCCTCCTTTCATATTCGTATGGTTAACATTCTTTTTACTTTATTTTTCCTTGTTTTCTACTCCATTTTTTTAGCTGGAAAGACCGCACGTACACGTGTACATGCTACGGTGAACATGCATGCTTTGACAGAGGGGTTGGATGGTTTCAGCACTGCAGCATGGATCACTGCTGGGCACGAGGAGAAGAAGCAGATGCTGATGTGCTTGCTTGAAAATCAGTGGCTTATTGAGGTAAAAAATACGATTTAGCTTACTCAAGTCATTGTTGCAAGCTTGATCCTGTGTTGAGTAAACATGTTTATGTTTCACTTTCTTTTCCATTCCTTTCTTTCTAATTACGTCATTTTTGTTTGTAATGTAGTGCTTGCTGTGGTTTTCCAAGTACAAGTTTGCAATAACAATGGGAGAACTTTTTATAAAGAGATTATCAAGTGTTTTTTTTCCTCATTATTTTTCTCATTATCATTGTTCTTTCTTATCTTATGTCAGCTTGCATGTGGTTATACAGTTGCAATCACGTCAACCTTGAGGAAAGTAGAACGAGAATGGATGACTAAGGAATGGAAGTGATACAAATATGCAACCCTAGAAATGTGTACCCCATATAGGCTACCCCACTATAGCCTACACGATATTATAATTTGACACACCCCCATAGGCAAAGTGGGGGAGAAGAAGAGGTCACAAGACCAGTCAAGCAAAGCAGACAAAGCTCAGGGTGGATCACAACGTCACCACACAGTCCGAGCACAGGGTCAAGGCAACAAGGCCAGTTCACATGCAGGAGTACACATATATATATAAGGCTAAACAAGCAAGAGCAGGTATATATATATGTAAGAGTACAAGCAAGGTCAAGGGGTGAGCAAGTGAGGCAAGATAGGCACAAGACCCAGCTGAGTGCAGAAGCGCTGATGATCACAAGGCGGAAGTGCCTTGGTGAAAACATCAGCAGTGTTGGCCTCAGAGGCCACGTACGCAAGTCGCAACTGACCACGCTGTTGCAACTCACGAGCAAGAAAGTAGCGGAGAGCAATGTGCTTCGTTCTGTGCTCCAGGCGCTGCTCTCGACACAAGGCCAGCATGGCCTTGTTGTCTACGTACAGCACTGGAGGAGAACGAGGCGGCTCTCCTAGGTCAGTCAGCAGGTAGGTGAGCCAGCGAAGCTCCTGTGCAGCCATGGCCCCGGCGTAGATCTCAGCCTCACAACTGGAGCCGAGAACAGAAGACGAGCGAGTGGCCCGCCACGAAACAGAGCCGGAACCAAGACTGAAGGTGTAACCCTGTGACGACCGCTGCGTAGCCTGGTCGTCTGCCCAAGAAGCGTCCGCGTGTCCAGTGAGGACCACTGGACTCCGCCCTCCAAGCACTAGCCCCATGCCCGACGTACTGCACAAGTAGCGCAACACCCTCTTCGACGTGCTCTGTCTCGGGTGATCTGCAAGCCAAGGTAGCTGCGCAGTTCACCCAGGTCTGTGCACGTGTGTCTCTTCTGCAGCTCGGACTTCACGTGGGCGAGTCCAGCAGTGTCAGCTGTGGCAAAGACCAAGTCGTCGATGTACACGAGAAGTAGAACGGCGGCAGAGAGGTGTCGGTGCGCAGAAACAACGACGGGTCAGCAGTAGAGGGAGCAAACCCAAGAGCCGCAAGCGTAGTCCTCAGTGTGTTGTGCCACTCGCGCGGTGCCTGGCGGAGACCGTAGACTGGCCGTCGGAGGCTCCACTGGGTGCCAGGAGGAAAAGTCCCAGTGAAGCCAGGTGGACGGCGCAGCCAGATCTCCTCGTGCAGGCTACCCTGCAGGAAAGCAGTGCTAAAGTCAAGGGAGTGAAGCTCGTAGTCACGCTGAGCGGCTATGTGTAGCAGCACCCGAAGAGTGGTCATCTTCGGGGTGGGAGAGAAGGTCTGAAAGTAGTCAACTCCCTGCCGCTGACTGAAGCCACGAGCCACGTATCGCGCCTTGAAGACAGGTGGAGAGCCCGGTGGCCGCTTCACCCTGAAGATCCACATGCCACTGACGATGTTCCCCCCAGGAGGAGGAACCGCGTCAACGTAGGTGCCTGTGGACTTCCAAGAAGCCATCTCCTGACGTAGCACCCCCAGGCTCAGCACCCCCAGTCGTAGCACCCCTGGGCTCAGCACCCCCAGTCGCAGTACCCCCAGGCTCAGCACCCCCAGTCGTAGCACCCCCAGGCTCAGCACCCCCAGTCGCAGCACCCCCAGAATCAGCACCCCCAGGATCAGCACCCACCCGTGCAGCATCCCCAGAGTCAGCACCCCCCAGCTCAGCACCCGCAGCAGTACCAGAGTCACCAGCAACGTCGACCGGCTCGACTGCGTCTACCTGGGACACACCTGAAGGGGCAGGACCCTGAGGGGGGAGGGGGTCTACCGGGGGGGGACCTGGCACAAGGAAGTGCTGTGGCGGGGGGAGGGAAGGAGTGCGGTAGGGGAAGAGGCGGTAGTAGGGGACTGACTCGTCGAACGTGACGTCTTGGGAGGACAGAACACGACGAGAGGTGGGGTGGTAGAACTGCCACCCAGGGGCGTCAGGGGGGAAGCCAAGGAAGACACAGGGAGCAGCACGAGGGGACAGCTTGTCCGCAGACAAGTCGCGGACAAACGCCCGAGATCCCCAGACACGGAACGCAGACGCATCGCCGACCTTCCCCGTCCACAGCAAGGCTGGGGAGGTCTCCGGCCTAGAGACCCTGGGGTGAAGGTTGATCTGATGCGCCCCGTACCGAACCGCAAACGGCCACAGAAAATGGGGGGCAACCGCATGCATCATGGACGTACGAGCGACGTCCATGACCATGCCAATGCGGCGCTCAGCAATCCCATTTTGCTGTGGAGAGTCCGGAAGCGTAAAGGTCTGGCGGATGCCTCGCGCACGACAGTAGGCTCGCAGAAGGCCAGAGGAGAACTCTCCGCCTCGGTCAGAGTGCAGACGCAGAACAGGAAAGTCCGAGCCGAAGCTCCTCCTGAGCTGAAGACGAGCTGCGCGGATCCAGTCGATCAACACCTCAGTGACATCACCCTTGCTGCGCAAGGGGAAGACTGTGGTGTAACGCGAGTAGTCGTCAACCACCAGCAGGAAGTAGCGCTCGTGACCCTGTCCACGGACGCGGGCTGGGCCCCACACATCCATGTGAAGCGTCTGCAGTGGAGCCTCTGTCGAGGGAAACTGAGAGGAGTGAGGGGCAGCCCGGAGCCGCCCCTCAACACAGGGGACACAGGAAGGACCAGGCCCCGGAGGAAGGGAAGGGAGGGACCGGGGAAGACCAGAGACAAGGTCACGGGAAGCCATGCCTCGGAGACGAGGCAGGGAGGGGTGACCAAGACGGTGGTGCCACAGGAGAGTCTCGTGAGACAGGAGGCGACACGAGCAGGGGGCAGACTCAGGACCAGACCTGGACGCTGCAGCAAACACCTGACCCGACGCAGCTACCTGGCCAGAAGCAGGGACAGGAGGGGACCCAGTGGTCAGGGTGTAGAGGCTCGACCCCGGCCGACGCGTAAAGGTGGCCAGGTGCCGGCCCGTGCGAGCGTTCGAGCAGTGGGTCACCCGCTGACTCGCAGGAGTAAACTGGTGAACCCCCGTATCCTGCAGGTCAGCACCACTCACCAAGTTCGTAGAGAACGAGGGGAGGTAAAGACCACACAAGGTGTCAGAGGGGGCAGCCGGACACGGGAGGACAGTGGAGAAGTGAGAGAGGACAGGACCCCCAGAGGGGTCCGCCAGGGGGACTGCAACCGGCCGACCAAGCGGCGTGAGTGTGGTGCGGTCTCGAAAGAAGGAGCGAGAAGCCCCTGAGTCAAGTGTGAAGGTGAGGGAGGCCGAAGCCGACGTGGTACCTGAGAGCGCAGACTCACCAGCACCTGAGGGCGCAGACGCACTGGCACCTAGAGCCGCAGCCTCACCAGCACCTAGAGCAGCAGTACCAATGCCCGGGTCGGGCGGGAAACACCGGTAACAGTCACCCTCATCACTAATAGTCACAGCATACATGACAGCAAGGATAGCATCAAAGTCAAGATCATAGATAGCTACGCCTGCCCTAGACACCTCTCCCCAGCGGGGGATCTCACTAGCCTCCGGGAACTGCTGACGCCAAGCGTCCGTCAGGCGGCCAAAGCAGCGCTGGGTGGGGTGGGCACCCCCACACTGCTCACCCGCGCGGTCGCCGGAGCGAAGGACGTAGGT